TTGAACAAATTGATTTTTGTCTCTCTTTTTTTTACAATCCTTGTAGAAAAATACAAGAATATTTTTTTTTTTTTGAACATACTGATTTTTTTCTCTTTTTTTTTAACAATTCTTGTAGAAAAATACAAGGAACCTTTTTTTTTAATACAAAGACTAATAAAAAAGATAAAAATCAGATCAATACCAGATTGCTCTGATACCAAACTGATACGGATAGGATGTGAGACCCGTTGGATATATTAATCCAAGAACCACACGTATAAAATAGGCAGTGGAATCCCAGATCGGAGATCTAGTTTGATCGTACCTAGAGCTTAAAAACCTCGACCCGTTAGCTATATAATCAGCTAAGAACCTCGGTATGGTGAACGCCACAAGATCTTGCTCAAGTATCTTGATAAGTTCTTAAAACACTTGAAACTCTACAAAAGAGAATTAAAACTCACAAAAATTGATTTTAATATTCAGCAAAATTCTTATATTTCATTAAAACATAAAATGGCCTTTTTAAAGGCTACAAAAGGTGCTTGATGAGTTAATCCCGTTTTTGGGACTCATGGTGCACTAAGTACACAATTTTGACCACAAAAAGAAGCTTAAATAAAGTTTGAATGACCCTTTGACTTCTAATACAACTTAAGAGATATTTTGGTCTCTCAAATGCTAACAATGGACAAAATAATGGACACTTAAATTAGGCTTCATGACATGGACAGAATAAAGTCTTCAATCCATGGATCAATCTTCATGCGAACAATCTGGCCCGTCAACTTGAAGAATATTTATCAATTTGCCTTCAATCGGGATCTGGTCCGTCTCCTTTTGAAATTCAGCAATAAGAACACTCAAGGCTTCCTTCATTTTCTTAGCTCTTGCCCTCGTGAACGGTCCCCCATTTATTTTCAATGGATCTTCTTTACTTTGTACGGAGAGCTTCGCATGGTCCCTATCATTCCCTTCTTCTTCAAAAGGATTCGACTTCGAATCAGAATCAAAATGAAAAGGAGAAAGATCAGAAACATTAAATGAAGCACTCACATTGTACTCACCTGGAAGATCAAGTTTGTAGGCATTATCGTTGATCCGTGCAATCACTTGAAATGGCCCGTCCCCCCTTGCTTGCAACTTTGACTTGCGCTTTGCTGGGAATCTCTCTTTTCTCAAATGTAGCCAAACCCAGTCTCCAAGTTCGAAGGTAACTCGCTTTCGCCCTTTATTGGCTTGTTTTGCATATTGCTCGGTTTGCTTCTCAATGATCAGCTTAACTTTCTCATGTAACTTCTTGATCATTTGAGTCTTGGTTTTTCCATCCAAGTTTGTGATAGAGAATGAATATTATTATTATTATTATTATTATTATTATTATTATTATTATTATTATTATTATTATTATTATTATTATTATTATTATTATTATTCCTTTTATGATTAGTAGTTAATTGGTAAGAGAATAATTACTTGCTTAGTGGACAAGTAAATAATTATCTAGCTTGTTGGGCAAGTTTAGGAGACTAAGATTAGGATTATTATATATTGTTCATCCCCGTGACTTTGATGGAGGGATTGATTAATGAATAAAAAATGATATTGTTCTTGGTATTTTGAGACTGTTCTCAATTTATCGTCTCACTCGTACGCTTCCCTACATCAGTTTGCTTGCTCATCGACTGGAATAGGCACAAGATCAAGTGGACTCAAAGGATTAAAGCCGTAAACAACCTCAAAAGGAGTAAAATTAGTAGCAGAATGAACACTCCTATTATATGCAAATGCAGCAAATGGCAAACAATCTTCCCAACTTTTTAAGTTCTTTTTATTCAAAGCTCTAACTAATTGAGATAAAGTTCTATTTACTACTTCAATTTGCCCATCAGTTTGGGGGTGACAAGTAGTGGAAAACAGAAGTTTAGTTCCCAATTTACTCCACAACACACGCCAAAAATGACTCAAAAATTTTGCATCTCGATCACTCACAATGGTTCTTGGAACCCCATGTAAACGTACAACTTCTCGAAAGAACAAATCAGCAATATGAGTAGCATCATCACTTTTATGACATTGAATGAAATGAGCCATTTTAGAAAATCTGTCAACAACCACAAAAATACAATCTCTACCTCTACTAGTTCTAGGTAAACCTAAAACAAAGTCCATAGAGATATCTACCCACGGTTCATTAGGAATTGGTAAAGGTTGATACAAACCATGAGGTTTTGATTTTGATTTAGCACATTTGCAAGTTATGCACCTCTCACATATTCTCTCCACATCAACACGCATACCAGGCCAAAAGAAATAATCACGCACTACTTCCAATGTTTTATGTACACCAAAGTGTCCCATTAATCCTCCCCCATGTGCCTTCGTAACCAAAATTCACGAATAGAACATTTAGGAATACAAAGTTTATTCTCACGAAACAAGTAACCCTCATGCTTGTAAAACTTACCAAATGCAGCATGTTCACAAGCTAAGTAAATCGACCCAAAATTAGAATCAGTGGCATATGTATCCTTTATCGACTCAAACCCAAGAAGCTTAGAACTCAAAGTAGTGATTAAAGTTTACCTCCGAGATAAGGCATCAGCTACGATGTTCTCCTTGCCTTTTTTGTATTTGATCACATAAGGAAATGATTCAATAAATTCCACCCATTTGATATGCCTCTTGCTTAACTTACCTTGGCCCTTCAAGTACTTGAGAGACTCGTGATCAGTATGAATCACAAACTCTTTCGACCACAAGTAATGTTGCCAGGTTTCCAATGCTCTCACCAAGGAATACAACTCCTTATCATATATTGGGTAGTTCAATTGAGCTCCTTTCATTTCCTTCTTGCAACAAAATAACACCGGCACCTACTCCAGAAGCATCACATTCAAGCTCAAAAGATTTATCAAAGTTAGGCAAAGCAAGAATAGGTGCAAAAGTTAATTTTTCTTTTTAAGAGATCAAAAGCAAGTTGATGTTTTTCTCCTCATTGAAAACCAACTTCTTTTTTCACAATTTCATTTAATGGTACAACAATGGTGCTAAAATCTTTCACAACCCTCCTATAGAAGCTAGCAAGACCATGAAAACTTCTCACTTCCGCAATGCTCTTAGGAACAGGCCAATCTAAAATAGCTTCGACCTTATCCTTTTCCATTTCTATTCCATCACCACTTACAACAAATCCAAGAAAAACAACTTTATGCATGCAAAAAGAACACTTTTTAAAATTAGCATACAATGATTCAGTTCTTAAAGTGTCCAAAACCGCACGAACATGATCAAGATGCTCTTTTTAACAGTTCTTATAACAATTCTACTACACTATTTAACAGTATTCTTTTTTATTATATAATAAAATAATAATTAAATATTATATGGTGAACAAGAATAAGTAAAACTATTAATTTTTCTTATATCAAGGGATAAATTTATATGCTAAAATTCAATTTTTATTAGTATAAATGTTTTAATGATATAATATATTAATTATTTTACAAGCTAGCCCTAACATGCTCATATTTAATGTTTTGGATAAAAAACAACGCTGGTTAATATCTCTATAAAAAACAACGCTGGTTAATATCTCTATGTGGAAAAAAAATTTTATAACCCTATTGTTTTTTAGAAACGTTTGATTAAAAGATGAAGAGATAGATAATATCCCTATTACTTTTTAGACTTAAACAAACAAGATTGTGAAATAACTTATTTAATATCTCTGTCACGTGCATCACACGGGGATACTTACTAGTTAGGAATTAACCACGAAGTAGTATTCGAGAATTTGCTTATGATAAATTGATATCTTATCCATAAATTATTATACAATTATTTTGAGTCAGGTGACTAAACACAAAATATTAGGCAAAACAAAAATAAAATAAAAAATAAAAATATTTGATTGCCAAATACTATAATTTTCTTCTAACACAAGATTAATTAAACTTTCTTCTGTTAAACCTATCACAATATCCTACTAATAAAATAACTTCGCGTCAAAAATTAAGTTAAGACAGCAAGCTCCCATCTTCTCTCTTCTATAGAAAATTAATCTTTCTTGCGGGCAAAACTCATCTGTTCAAAGACGAAAGAGGCAACAACAAGGGTTGGCTCTTAAACAAGTTCTCGGATTCGAGTTCTTGTGGATGCAGAAAATCCTTGTTGAAATACTCACCCACCTCTGCCAGGTGTGCGATCCGGATCAGCCAACGGATTATTCGGGGCATAACTTCAGATACCGTGACTGGCTACCAGAAAAAAAAAATGTCGAAAGAGGCAAAAATTATCCAAAAGATAAGAATAATAAAAATAACTAAAATAGGCATAAAAAATACCATAAGAGAAAAATATATTAGACTTAGAACAACTTTTTATTACATTATGGAAAATATTAAGAGTTTCCTATTCTGCCTTCTTCATTACAAGCACATAAGCATGAGATCGTTTTACAGTTTGATTTCTATTCTTTTCCTCTATCTTTTAGCTTACAACATTTTCACCATCTTCTGCACCCGAATCCCTGTCCCGGCCAAATCTCCACCGGAGACGAATGCTTTCTTACCGGAAACTGTTCCCCAAAAAACCAAACCCCTTTCCTCTCCGCCTTTGGAACAATCGTCAAAGCAAGAAAGATCGAGCACGAAAAAATCGGTTTTGCGTGAAGATACATACTCTGTTATGCCGGAAAACAGAAACACGGTTTACAGCCCGAAAAGAAGGAAAAATCAAAGGCGTGCTTTGGAGATTCTAAGGTCGTCCGAGGACGTATCGAAAAATTTTGAATCTAGAGTGTCTAAGTTCTTCTTCGATGCCAACTCGTCGTGCGAGCTCCGTTTCTTCATGACTTGGATCTCCTCACTCGACTCCTTTAGCGATCGAGAGATTTTCTCCATCAAGAGTTTGTTCAAAGTGCATCCAAACGGGTGCCTAGTTGTTGTGTCCCGATCAATGGACACGAAAAAAGGCGCGCGAATTCTAAGTACCTTCGCCGAAAAAGGTCTCAAAGTGACGGCAATCTCGCCCGACTTCAATTACTTGTTCGGAAAAACCGCGGCCCACGCGTGGTACAACCGTTTAAATCACGGTAAGATAAACCCGGGGCGTATCTCCTTTGGCCAAAACCTCTCGAATCTAGTTAGGCTCGCGGTGTTGTACCGGTTCGGTGGGGTTTATCTCGACACAGATATGATCGTATTGAAGAGCTTTCGGGAGCTTAGGAATTCAATCGGAGCTCAAGCTGTCGAGCCCGTCACGCGAAAATGGAGCCGTTTGAACAATGCCGTGATGATATTCGACAGGGGACATCCGCTTCTTCTCAAATTTATCGAGGAATTCGCGAGCACGTTCAATGGGAACAAGTGGGGCCACAACGGGCCTTATTTGGTCTCGCGAGTGGCTTCGAGGGTGAGTGGGGATGTCGGTTACGATTTTACGGTTTTGCCCCCCAAGGCGTTGTATCCGGTGGGTTGGAGTGAGATCGGAGGGCTTTTCGAGGGGCCGAAAAACTCGAGCCATTCGAGATGGATTGTTGGGATGCTGAGGCAGATTAGGAGGCACAGCTTTGCAGTTCATTTGTGGAATAAGCAGAGTAAGGTGTTGAGGGTCGAACAAGATAGCATTATTCATCGCTTGATGTTTGAGTTGTAGCATGTTAATTAACTTAATGAAATTTATTGTTCGGTTATGACGTCTTCTTCTTTCTTCTATTTTCTTCTTGTTTTTTCAGTATTTTCTTTTAATTTATTTTCTACTGTTTTTCGCTGTCATAATATAGCTAAAGTATAGTATTGGTATAATCGTGTAAATTCCATAGAATAGTTGCAGTTATTTGTTAACATGATAATGTGATGACTGCTGGTAGTTTACTCATGTAAATATTTTCTTTTTATTGGCACATCTTAATTGATACAAGCTGATAATTCTACTACTATTCGGCAATAACCTTTTTCACAGTTAACTGGAATTAAGTTTAACTAATCCTTTTGATCTCCATAGGGATATAAACGGGTCAGATCGGGTCGGGTTTTGACGAATTCGAACTCGACCCACATATTATTTACCCTACCCAAACTGGACTCATTGCCCGGCTAGCGATCTTCGGGTTCAAGTCGGATTTTACCCGACGAGTTGTCGGGTCTTCGTTGGGTAAACGAATAACCCGAATTCTTAAATTTGAGTTTTAACCGGTCCCGTCCCAACCCGCTTCATGTGAAAAAAATAAAATAAAATAATTTCATAAATAATTATAATGTGACCAACAATTTACTACCCAAGCTTGACAATAATAAACTATTAAAAATTATATATTATTTTTAGAATAAATAATGAGATATATTTATTTATCGTTTGTAGTCTATTTGACAATATAAAATTTAAATATTAAGTATTTAAATATTTTAATAAATTGATATAAAAAATAGAAAAATAAAATAAAATACAACCATTAACCAAAAATATAATAAATAATTTAATTTTTATAACACATGTCAGGACTACTTTTATATTTATGATATATATATATCAAATTCAATGCTTGCGGGTAAATAGGTAGGGTGATCGAGGCGGGGAACGAGTTTTCTACTATACGAATCCGACCCGGGGTTCGGGTAGCATAACTCTTCTCGAACCCGACCCACAACCCAATCATTCGGAGTGTAACCGACCCAAAAATGTGGGTAACCCGACCTTGTGGGTTTTATCGACATGCCTGAATTATCTCCACAAGTAGGGTATGTTTAAGATGATCACAAACATCAAGGTGTATTTGCATGTGAAGTCAAGTGAGGATAGGAGTTGGGGGTTTTATAACTAGGTGGTGCATTCAATTTCAATTGTTATAGACATTTTAAGACTTTCATAATTTTGGTTAACACTTCTTAAAAGTTTATACATTTTTAAATGAGACTTTTAAAGACATTTTGCAAGTTTGCCTGTTTGTATATAAATATATTTGTTCAAAATGAGTTTTACTTGTTAACTAGAGTTAATTTTGAAAAAAAAAAAGTTATATGGTTAGTTGTTGGTTGGATATTGATTTTATATTAAAATAATAATATATAAAATAAAAGTGTTATGCCTTGCACTGTCGGATGTTTCATTATTTTTTTATTTAATTTTTTCGTCAAATATTAAAAAAATATTTGTTGTTGAAATTGCAGTTCATAAATATCCTCAAAAGGGTTTTTGAGTTTGAAATGTTATGCAGTAACAGTTTATTAATATCTTCAAAGG